TCACATAAAAAATATATACACACAATAAAAAGGTGGTTTATAGCAAGTTGTCTGCTCCAAAGAAAATTCTGTGTGTGCAGAACAAGCAGCAGCAGAAGCGATGAACGCCGAACAGAGCTGAACACCTGACACGCACCCCCGCAAGGAGGCTGACGACTGCATCTTCACATATATATATATATATATATATATATATATATATATATATATATATATATATATATATATATATATATAAACAGATAAACAAATATGTGTGAGCGGCGGCGCCTTCATATAGATTTCTGATAGAGCATTCATCATGCGTGCATCCAAATTACGGGTTGGTGCCTGTACACCTCATTTATTTAATCGAGTTTGTTGCATTGCAACAAAAGTTGAACAGGCAAAATATTAAAACAAAAGAATCATAGAACGCAACGCAATTCCTGCAACTGGCGTTCTTTTTGAATTCCTATAGAGGCACAGGAAACAGAGGATCAGCTGCTTGTGATGATAGCAGTTAAGACAGCAACCCCCCCACCAGCAGATTCTATCATCAGCTGCAGCAGCGCTTTCTTGTCTGAACTCGTGCCGAATTCATATAATATAGCGCCAGCTCACAACGGCACATTATATCATTCGTCCTTGAACCCCGATAGCTCTATGGGCTTCAGTTTCCAGCATAGACAGAGCTTGTACACAAAGTACACTACACTAATAACGCAGTTTGCGTTAGGCTGCAGTCAGTTGTATCATTTGTAGTAGGCGATGAGTATCTTGATTTTATCGTTAGCAAGGCAACTATAATAGCAATGCCTGACGTATGTAATATATAATAACACAAAACCGTATACAGCAGTATCTAATGAGCAACAATAAAGAAAACAAAGATATCAAGGTACGCCAGGTCGTCAGCGGGCTAGGCGAGCTGCAGCACCGCTGGTAGTAGTACGAAAGTACGAATAAACTAGCTCTTGAAAGCACTTAAACAAAGTGAATTGTTTTAAAACGTTTAAAGCCGAGTTTTGCTTTCCTCTGACTACTTATTTTCCCTATGTACACACGCCTTGGGCGATCACGCGCTGCACGGACCGCCGGTTACCCCTCGAGCAGTTGAGTTTACAGCTCCTCAGTAGAATGTGTAGCAAAACGATTAAATATAAATATAAATATTCCGTTTACGTGGAATTTAGTTTTTTATTTTAACTCAATTGTGTTCATTTACACCGTTGAAACCCGCAATCAGAGAAGCAGGGCGCGTCGTCTGTGGCAGTGCGCAGAGTGAGGAAAGCTGCAACACTGAAACTTGCACTGGAGCGGCGCTATCACGAACTCTTCTTTGAGTGAAATTCCGCCCAAGTCCGGGTTATATATTTAAATAAATATATTTATACCGTCAATTCCACTTATTTCAACAAGTGCATCGCTTACTGGGTGCGCAATTCAGGACGATAGAAGAATCCAAGCATCACGCATGCAGCCACGATGAGGGATGATTCGCACCGGGGGCGCGTCCGGGGCTGACTGTGTAAAGTTGCAAGTTTCATAAGAAATTAAGAGGATTTGAGTTGAATAGACTCATCGATATTCTTTTATTCTTTCTCTTTTCTCTGCATTTAGCTGCTCAGCTCGCACATACTGACACAATGACGCGGACACCGTGGATTGGCGGCAACTGGAAGTCCAACGGCTCCGTCGCCTCCATTTGCAATCTTTCAAAAGAACTCAACGAGGCAAACTTCGACCCAAACCAGACCCGTAAGTAAACTCACTCAGCATGCTCACAACCAAAGCGGCAGCTGTTGCTGCTGCGCCCTCTATTACACGAGCGGAACCAGCGAAAGCAGCTGCGTAGCGCAGCAGCAGCAGCTTTCACAGGAAAGCACATTCGGAACATATAGAACGAAAGCAGTTGCTGCTGTGGCGGCCTCAGCTGCTGCAGCATCTACAGCAGCTGCAGCAGCTGCAGTAGCTAGAGCAACTAAAAGGCAGAAATACCAGCTCAGGGTTTTCATTTTCCTCTTCACTTTAAACATTAACTCCTCACGCACTCAACACCATAGCTATTTGAGCAGCAGCAAGTTTCTCTCTCTGAGCCGTTGGATGCTGGGGCGGAGTCCGCAGCGGGATCTCCAGCCTCTGATGAATGTATTTGTAAACTTTAATATGATTTGCTTTCATCGATGAGGCGTGTACAGTGTGCAAGGGGGTTTGTGCATGCGTGGTTTGTCGTTTTTTTTTCGGTTTTATTTGTTATTTTATGTTGATTGTTTTATATTTTTGTCTGTATTTCGTATTTCAAGTGGCTTAATAACAGTATAATTGCCTATGGCCGTGGCTGTGGACAGAGGGCCGGAGCCCCCAGTCTGGCTGTTTGCGGCATCGGCTCTGCCGCTTGTTTAACAAATACAACAAGAAAGCAGCAGATAAATGTGTCGGTGGGTGACATAAAGGGTTTAAATTTTGTTCTCTGTTTCAAATGATTTAATTCATAGTTTTTTTTTTTTTTTTTTTTTTTTTTTTTTTTTTTTTTTTTTTTTTTGTATTTCTCTCTCATATGATCTGTACACACCTGGGGGTTATCAACACGTTGTGGTGCTGTTGGCATCCATTTATTTCTTTTGTTCATTTCCAAGTTTTCCTTGATTATATTTTTGTCGTTATGTATTCGCGTCTATTGAACGCCGTTTGTTTCCATGTTTGTATGTTGTCTGTATATGCGTGTCGTCAGCAAACGGAGTTCTTTTTCTCAGTATTTTTGTCCCCATTATTTCTATCTCGTTAAAAAGCATACTTCATTCTCTTCTGCTTCTCCTGTTGCTGCTGTTGCTGCTGCTGCTGTTGCTGCTGCACAGAGGTCGTCCTCTTCCCCACAGCACTGCACATTCCACTGGCCCGCGAAAAGCTGAAAAATGAATTTCAGATTGGCTGCCAAAACATCTCCAGGACGGGCTCAGGAGCTTACACAGGCGAAATCACGTGAGGGTTTACATCTTTTTGCTTTCTGCTGTATCTGTCGTGTATTCAACTTTTTCTGCTTTCCCCGTCATGGTTTGCCTTTCAGGCGAGGGTCTTGGTGTGCATGCTTTCTGTTCATCTTTTACCCATTTGTTTCTGTCGTCTGCTGAGCTTTTCATGTTTTGCCTGTTGTGTATTTATATTAGGATATCGTTTCGTGCTATATGTATCGCGTGTTTCTCTTCTTGCTGCACGTTGCACTCCAAAGTGCCCGTTTGTTTGCACATTTTCCTCTTTTGTTTTGTCTCTTTCTCTTATTAATTAATTAATTTATTTTTTTGTTTCTCTTAGAGCGGAGATGGTTGCGGATATGGGAATGAAGTGGGTGATGGTGGGCCACAGCGAGAGGCGCCAGTACTATGGAGAAACGGATGAAGTCGTAGCAGAGAAAGTTGCAATGGCACTGAAGCAAGAAGGCCTTTATGTAGTGGTCAGCATCATAAAAAAAAAAAAAAAATTCTTCTTTTTCTTTTTCATCTCCCTCACCTTCTTGTTCTTGTCCTTCTGCTTCCTCTGCCCCCCCCTCCTTCTTCGTCTTCGTTCTTGTTGCATTTGAAATATTTCTTAGGTTGATTGTTGATGCTTTTGTATGACTGCAGGGGTTTATTGATTATGCTTTTTTTATTATTTCAAGGGGCATTGTGCATTTATGCATTTATATTGGTAGCTTTCTTTCTGTTTCCGTTTCTGGTTATTCAGATTTGCATTGGTGAGAAGCTCGAGGAACGCGAAAGCAACAAAACCATGGACGTATGCAGAACGCAGCTGGACGCGGTGATCCCCAAAATCACAGATTGGAATAAAGTGGTCATCGCCTACGAACCCGTATGGGCTATCGGCACAGGCAAAGTCGCTACACCTGAACAGGCACAGGAGGTTCACCAGGTAAGGCTGCTGCTCCTGCTGCTGCTGCTGTTGCTGTCACGGGTCGTCGTGCTGCTGCTGCTGCTGCTGCTGCTGTGGCTTAGCTGCGAATCCTCGTTAAGCTTGTTTTGCTGCCTTGGTTGCTGCTGCTGCTGCTTTTGTTTCTGCTTTTGGGGCTGCTGCTGTTGCACTGCGTTTGTTGGTGTTGCTGAAAACAAAGGGTGCCCTGCTAACGTAGGAGCGTACTGTGCTGGTCATCGTTTAAATATTTTTTGTTGTTCAATTGTTTTCTGTTTTTAAATTGTTTTAATCTTTTTGTAGGAACTCCGCAAGTTTATCTCTGAGCGCGTGGGGAAAGAGGTTGCAGCCTCGTTGCGTATTGTGTACGGGGGCTCCGTGAGTGACTCGAATTGCGTTTCTTTGATTAAGTGCGAAGATGTTGACGGTTTCCTTGTGGGCGGTGCATCTCTGAAGAAAGCCTTTGTAGACATCATCGACGCCCCCAAGAAAGCATGAAAGAAAACGAACCGTTTAGGGTTTGTGTACTGACTCTATAGAACGTGGTTTCTGCTGTTTGTATTTTCTTGTTGTATTTCAAATAAAACGCTAATGAAAGCATGCTTGAGCCAATAGGTAGTAAAGGAGAAAATCCTTGCATAGAAAAAATACACTGACAGGCAGAACAACTGACCTGTTAATGCAGAGAAAAAAAAATAAGTAAACTTCAGTCCGTGCCCGCCGCTGTAGCCAAGGGGTTGCTTGTATTTCAAGGCGGCGTTGTTTGCCTGCATTTTGTCTTTTAGTTCCGTAGTTTCTTTTGTTGAATTCTATTATATATAATATATGTATGTATAAGATGTATATGTATTTAAGACATATTTGTATGTTTATATTACAGACCAATATATGTATTATTGGTCTCGTTTGCTAAGCACAGACCAACGCAACTGCGAGTCGACTTTTGTTTTCTTTTTTCATTTCGTTTCAACACATATTAAGCCTGAGGCTCGACATGCAGACAGGAGCATAACACGGAAACAAATACACAGGCGACAGAAGGGAATAACAACATAAAGACGTATAAATATACACAGTACAAAGGAGAATAGAAACATAAAACAGATTAACGCAAATTCACAGAAGACGATGTAGATAAATGTACACAAGAAAAAGGAGAACAAATGCATGAAACAGACGAAAGACTGAAATATAATTTTAATAATAAAACAGATTGTAGAATCAGTCCATACGGCAAAAATGTTTAACCCTTAGTGGCCATTGTTTCATTGCCAATATATATATATATATATATATATATATATATATATATATATATATATATATATATACATGCTTATCTGCCACCAGTACAGCCGCCGTGCTGACAACAAAGCAACCGACAGCACATACATCTTTACAACTTGTTGACGAACTAACTGCATGGAAATTGTTATAGAATGCGGTAAAAAGACAAACACATTCGTTCAAATTAGTATGAGAGAGGACCCATAAGCAGGCTGAGCCGTGTGGCGTCGCGCAGCAGCAGCTGCAGCAACTGCAGCAAGCAGTAGCAGAGCGTCCAGCAGCAGCAAGCGCAGCAACAGGTGCCGCAGCAATTCCAGCAGCAGGAGCAGCTGCTACAAGGGGGTGTGAGGTTTTTGGTAATCTTTGTTGTTACTGTAGGTCAGTGTTTGCCTGTTGAGGATTGAGACGGGTTGCTGTGGCAAGTGGAATGAAATGCCCAGTTCATTGAGTGCCTTCACCAGGTGCAGATACACCTCAGACCGCACCTTTAAGACCTTCCCCCAGTTCCCCCACCCCTCAACGCACGTCAACCACAGGGTCAGCTGCGCGCATGCAGCCCCAAACACACCGCAGCACCCACATAGTCAGCTACATTTCCGCTCTACACTAACAGACGCCCGCTAGCTAGCCAGCCAGGTGTGAGCCTGGGGTAGCTATCTAACTAGCTAAGATCCAGTACGTTTTGTCACTGCGTGTTCTCTACATTAACGACTTATATATTCACCAACTTCTCTACTTATGTATCTGCGCTGTAGCTACTCACGATTAGCCGCCTCTTTAAATGTGTGTTTCCCCCCGCCTCTCTTTCACGCGTTGGCCAGCTGACTAGCCATCTGTATAAGTGGGTATCTCTCCTTTCACCTGGCTAGCCGAGAACTGCCTGCACCTACGGAGTTCTGTGTACGTGAAAGCTTCTGTGTAGTTGGCTAGTTGGGTAGCTAGCTAGGTAGCTAGCTGTGTACGCGTGACGTGCCTTGATGCAGTGGCCGGCCTGAACGTCATATACGAGCAGACGCAGGGAGTCTTTGACGAAGTCCATCTGTCTGCTTTGTACATATTTCTTCATTTCATGTTCCAACGCCTTTATCAGAAAAAGCGGAGTCGATATGCTTACTGAAACCTCCAACTCGAACGTCGATACTTTTGCCCGTGACTCGTTTGTTATGACGCGCGAAAACAAAGAAGCGTTGCTGTATATTATCTGAAAACAAATGAGAAACAAACAAAAAAACAAATAAATAAAATGAAAAATACAATACAACCATCCCCGTATCATATAAACTGGAAACTCAACAATAAACAAACGAAAAACAGGCAAAACAAGTGCAGTAAACAATACAACAACCGAAAACAAACAAAACATACGAGGCAAACAGACAAACAAGACAAACAAATAAACAAANACAATACAACAACCGAAAACAAACAAAACATACGAGGCAAACAGACAAACAAGACAAACAAATAAACAAACAAACATACAACGATAGAAGACAGATAGCAGACAAAGAAGCAAACAGACGAAGAAAACACCAAAATATTCTTCTGGCTGACAAGCAACATCACACAACCTAGGAAAGGAGTATTGTAGCAACGCACGCCCCCCAAGCAAAATCCAGCTCAGAATTAAACAAACAAATAGAGAAAGATACGCTTAAAACATTTTATACAAGTAGAAACAGAGAAAGGATTGATAGATACATACACCACAAAATTTGAATAAACAAACATATACAGCCACGACGACAACCGAGCACACCGTCTGTATGCAGCAACAGCAACAACAATAGCAGCAATACAAGCATCAGCAGAAGCGCAGCAGACACCGAAAAAGAAGTAGCGGCAGCAGCAACAGCAAAACCGGGATAAACATCAGCAGCAACACCAGCGGCAAAAGCAGCAACGCCATCGCCATCGGCAGCAGCACCAGGCAGCCATAGCGTCAGCACCCTCACACCAGCTACACCAGCAGCACCAGCACCAGCAGCAGCAGCAGCAGCAGCAGCAGCAGCAGCTGCTGCTGCTGCTGCTGCTGCATTCTTACGGGTTTTCCGTGCATGCTTTCGAATTCTGTGGTGTATGTACGGATGCGTCTGACGTAGAGAACATCTCCGTCGTCAATCCTCACTCTGTCTCCAATGTTATAAGGGTTTGTAAACGCCACAAAAATAACAGCTGTTATGAAATGTTGGTAGATATAGCCTGAATACACATTTATATATAAACTTTGCTTCTTTTGCTGCTGCAGCAGCAGCAGCAGCAGCAACAGCAGCAGTGGGAGCGGCAAGAATAGAAACGCAGCAACAGCAGCTACACCGACAACAGCTACAGCAACAGCAGCTGCAGCAACAGCAGCTGCAGCAACAGCAGCTGCAGCAACAGCAGCTGCAGCAACAGCAGCTGCAGCAACAGCAGCCGCAGCAACAGCAGCTGCAGCAACAGCAGCTGCAGCAGCAGCTTGTGAGCACTACAGCCTCCCTTTGTCAGTGTCTTTGCTTCCGTATGTGTATAAATTTTTTTTTTTTGCTGTGCTTTTTAGGTGCTGTCTCCGTTTGCTTTTCTGTTTGGTTTCTGTTTGCGTGTGTTACTGTATATGCCTCGTTCTTCTGGTTTATCTGTTTGTGTCTGTCTCTCGCGCATGTATTTGTTGCTGTTGTTGTATATATATTTATTTCTGTCTGTCTCTGGTTCTATTTCTCTCTCTTTTGCATGCGTGCATGCGTGCAACTAAGACCCACTGAGAGCGACGGTGACAGCAGAGAGAAATGCAGCCCCAGACATGACGACGGTGTTCATCTCCACCCCCATCACCAACAGCAACACAATCATAGTAACAAACCACAGCAACAGAGACATCATACGCAGCACTGTAGAAG